AGCCAGCTGAGAGAGAGAGCGAGAGCGCAAATGGGAGAGAGCTTCCGCTGAAATGGCTGGCAGATTTCTAAATAGAACACCACTGCAGAAAAAACATGCGCGCATACACAGTTGTGATGGGGATGACAATAGGCTTTGCAGATTTGAGCCTCAGTGTGATGCCTAATCTCCAAGTAAGTGTACATCATCAATGTGGGTATTTTAACAAAAGAGGGGGGTAAAAGATACAGAGAGAATATAATCTGGGTTTCAAATGTGGATGCACTAAATATAGTCTCCATATACAGGTCATGGAGTGGCAAAGCTTTTTCTTCCATCTCCCCTTTCTGCCTCTGTCTGGTTCAGCTGCTGTCATGTCTGCCTTGCTTCCACGCTACTATCTATACCTTCTCCACATCTCGCCTGCCTCCTGCTCAACCCTCAAAAGCTTGTGGCTAGTTCCTGAGAGAGGCGTTATCCTGCAAATTCTCCACCCATATCAACTGTACACTAATGCCAATCTTTTGTCAGGATCTGGCGTCCGGCATAGGGAAACAAATATAGTAAGACTGATACGGTACTGGTGTCTGTCTGCCTGCCTGCTTGCTCTCTGAGCAATTTACAGATGTTTGTGCACATAGATTGTACAGGTGATCATCAGATTAAAATTTAGAAATTCATTTTTGACTTCCTCTGGCTGAAATGTACCACCTGCCTTCATTACACTGCCTCACACATTTCCATAGACGCCTCTGTGCACCCAAAGATGATGTTATGAGCACTTGTTTATAGGCTGTTTATACTGAAATTTTCAAGTGTGTACATGGGTTTAATGTGTAAGCAACTATTTCAACAACAACCTATCCTCGACAATTTTTGAGAGTAGCTGGCTGACATAAGCATTAAAAATGCAGATACTCCGTTATGCTCCTACCTTGGTTCGGTACTTGCGAGTGAAACATTCTTTTTTTCGTTGATTATGTTTTCTCGGTACAGGATATCGAAAGCAGCCATAAAGCATGCTAAATGTAACTAAACACTGTATCTGTGGCATGCCGATATAAATATGTCAAATCAACCGAGGTCCGGATGTTTGTCTGTACACATCTTTAGATTTCTACAAGCACATTAGTAAAGCCTAAAACCAAAAAAAACCCCAAACAAACAAAAGAGTGCATTCCTTCTGGTGCACGCACTTTTTTGATTGGTTGACATCACTGCCATCTCGCCACTTTATATTCTGCTTAGCTCTCTGCCCTCGTCATGTCTGCAAATTTAATTTGATTGCAGCTGTAATCTGCCAGCTAGTTGATTGACTTTGCCAAGCGTTGTCCCTCTCCTGCCTTAATGGAGAAGGGGTAGTTTAAGTTACAACGTCTTATCCTGTCCCTGCAAACCTGCACTCCCATTGTGTGCTTTGGTCACCAGAGAGTACTCTTCTAGAACTGGGTAAACTAATGGGATCTCCAGGGAGAATTTGAGCTGACCTGAATTTTCTGTCATCCGTCTTGTTGTCACATTAGACAGGAAGTCTTCAGTGATGGCCCTCTGACAAATTCAATTCTTAAGTTATCGGTTGCTGTGAATCATCATATGTCAAATATGTTTCCAAAAATTATTTATATTCTCATACAGCCCAACTGGATTAGCAAATACATTTTGAAGAAATGCGATATCATCATGATTGTATTTTTATTGACAATAAAAATGACATCACTGACAGTCTGTACTCGGGTCACATTCACTCACTTGTGCTGGGGTTTCTAAGCCCAGAGTTTAATCTGTTGTCATGAGAAATCCCAGAAGTGTAATAATAATTCAACACTTAAACTTTATATGATGATGAAGGCCATGGGTCAAGGTTAAAAGCTACAAAAGGAAGAAGTATGTCATGTTTATACTGAAGCTGTTGGGTTAATGGCAGTTCAGGCAGGACCACTTTAGCAAAAAGATTATTGATATTTAAGTCTATACTAATTTATTATTTGGCAAAATGACTTTGTTGTGGCACCTTCTTGATCTTCCAAATACACTCATGAAAAGTCAAAGATGGCAAGAAGAGCAGCACAATCCTGAGCACTTAACACGGCAATGACAACAGAGACAACAGATATTACACTAAGTAAAGGCTTCCTCTCCTCACCCCCAACCGGTTGCATGGTTGCAGATGGCTGCCCCTCCCTGAGCGGATCTGCCGGAGGTTTCTTACTGTTAAAAGGGATTTTTTCCTTTCCACTGTCACCCCGGTGTCATAGGGGGATTGTTGTTGGTGTTTTCTCCCTGTTAATGTAGAGTCTTTACCTTACGAGATAAAGTGCCATGAAGCAACTTTTATTGTGATCTGGTGCTACATAAATACAATTGAACTAAACCAAATTGTACGATACAACATGAGATTAGGATCGGGGGTGCAAGTGGGTTGTGAATCAGCTTGCAGACTGCAGTTGTGCAGAGGATGGTAGCTGGGCCATGAGCTTTTGTGAACTTGTATTTAGCTCCTCTGGTCTGTCAGAATTGCAGCTAATCTTACAGTCAAGCTAAAAGAAAGCATGGGTGGAGACTACAGCGTGACATATGATTGCAATCTCATTGCTTTTGAAAAAGCTGCTGTGAAGACAGGAACCACCCATACGGAAAAGAAATAGTAAAAACTTATATGTGATTACTCATGAAAGTGGCCACTTTCGCATTACTTTCATACATTGTTTTAGTAAGTATCCAAAACATACAAGTTTCATTATATAATTTTTCAAGGGATCTTATATCTGTTTTCACTCTTGTATGCTTTTCATACAAGTTTCACACAAGACAGATACAAACTTTATAAGATTTATATATATCTTTTCCATATGGGCAGGTTTGCGATCACTTGCAGTCGATTGCCATCTTCAAAATGACTTTGGTCAAGATGGTGGTGAAACAAAACAATAAAATAGATGGATAAGAAGATAGACCAGTTATATTCTACTCAATGAATTTGCATTTGCAATCTGTTGTCATTTGTATATACAGGAATTCACATCACCAATTTACATTCATAATCAAACTAGAACCTACTTGAAATTTGAAATTATGAAATTCCTTCACAAATAGTGACTTTGTTGATGCACTCAACAATCTAAACTAAATTACTTGATTTTTTGAAATTTAGTGCTGTCAAGGTTAACAAGAACTCCTACCAAAGCAGACTATTATGCCAAATTTCAGTCTAAAACATACACAGGTTAAGAATTTGGGATGTAAAATTTGTTAACACAAATATCAACAAGTGCAAAACTTTAAATATCTTAATTCGTTTGGTTTAAAGATTCCAAGGTCCACCATTGCTGAACTGGGAGAGAATGAATGTGGCAACATTGGTACTGAAATTTTCTTCCATTAATGACATGTTTTCGATGCTTTGGGGACTGTCGATAGCGTGCACACTTTTAATGCTTTTAATACATGCTTCAGTGTGTGACCAATTTAGAGTTACCACACTTAATGGCTACCTTTAATTTTCTGCACATCATTAGGGGTCTCCTTTGAGGCACAACAGATGATCATTAGCTTTTAGTTATTTGTTAAGCTACAATACAGCTCTAGCATTTTTAAATGAACTACAGCCAGATTCACAGCCAGAACAAAAAAAAATCAGTAAAAGAAAATTCACGGGCATTGCTCAAATGTGAAATTGATATCCAGGATCTAACAACATCTCCCATCTTTCATACAGTTGATTACCCACACTCACTACATTAAAGGCACTGGTACTTATATAGCACCTTTCTACTTAATTTGGGTACTAAAAGCGCTTGCTTTCTTTCATCCAATAACACTTACACATTCATAGAGTGTTTCTTTATCTACACCTGAGCACTTTCATCTAATATTCAAAACACATATCACACAAATAATGGGACAAATCAGGCAAATCCTTCATTCAACACAGTGCCTCTAAGAGCCCAGATTTGATTTACTGACCCTGGTAGGTTGGTAGACCGCTCACCTAACCACCTGGTTCTTCAACCAGCATTTGTTGCAAGTCAGTCATTGTGGTGTGTTGGCTGACTTGTAACAAATACTGTTCGGGTCCACATGCTGCTAAACCCCCATTTTTAAAAATGAATACATTTACAGATTGACAATATGCCTTGTTTCTTCAGACTTCAACCATCCAATCCAATAAATGGCATCAAACAATAGTCAATAGCAGAATAAGCTGTTTGGCATTGGAAGAAAAGATTTGGTAAGTTTTTCACTGTGCAACCCACGTAATCGACTCTGTTGCTCAACCCCCTCACAAAACACGGCATCATTTAAGGGAAAATGAAGGCTTTCCAATGGTATAAGCTTTATTCTCAAGCAAGACTGTTACAAGACTGGCCAAAAACAAATTTCCTTAATTTTTGCGTTTATACTTAAAGTGTAACTAGGCCATGAACTGAAACCAAAGCCAGGTTTTAAACGTTGTTTCTTATAACTTTGGTATTGACAGACTATCCGATCAATATGTGGGTTAATGGTGAATGCAGGATGATCAATTGTCCTGGTTTATATTTTTTAGTTCACCAGCTGGCCCACAATACAGAGCAAAGAAAAAAAGAAAACCGTTTGTAATGTACTTAGATAGTATGTCTGTTAAGAAGTAAAGAAATGCAAATTAAACTGCCAACAAGGTAAACGCTACACAAGAGAACTGCAATAGAGAAAGAGCTGCACCCACAGAGGAGTTCTGAGTTAGCCTGCAGTTGAACTGTTAGCAGCAGTGAAATAACGCTGTTTCTTCCCACTGACTAATTTAATAAAGAGAAACTCTGAGAACTTCATTACAATGTTATCAGATCATTAATAAAACGAATCTGACTGGGCATGAACACACATGCGAGATAAACATTGACACACACACACACACGCACACACACACACACACGCACGCACACACAATCATTTGGATTTTTTTTTTTGACTGACAGACATGTATTTCTGCACTGTACACACAAACATTTACACGAGTGTCAGAGTCACTGTGAGTAACTTACGGGTTTCCATAGTCCCAGACAACGCACTGAGGATCTGATGTACCCTGCAAGATACAGGGTGAGGGGGAGGGGGGAGAGGAGAAGATAAGCTGTTATTGCCAGTCAAGAGGATGAGTGAGAGAGAAGGCAGCAGAGAGAGAACACAGAATAGCTCATTGCCAGAGGAGAAAGAGTGATGCTGCATGGATGACGGTAAGAAGTAAACAGACAATGAAAGAGAAGGATTGAGATAGACGACAGGAGGGAGAGATGGAAAAAGAGTCATTGTCAGAGGACAACGCAGCAAACAGCTGCTTCTGCTGCTGCAGCCGAAGAGAAAAAAAGGTGCATGAGCTATAAATTGAGAGTTTTAGGGATGACAAAGGAAAAGCCATTTCATGGACAATAACTAGGGTCGTAAACATCCTGTGGGGTAAAAACATTAACATTCTTCACTTAAGTGCAACCACAGCAAAAAGTAGTCAGTTAAGTGTAAAAAGCTATGAAGTAAAATGTTATTAATTAAACATTTGGCCCTTTAAGAGTGTGCAAAGTTTCACTAATGTACCATTTTTTTCTTTTTAAAAAAGCAAAGTCAAAGTAACTGGATGCTGGTGATTTTCTCTCAGCTTACCCTTAATCCATTTAGTCATTGAAGCTAAAGTTCGCTCAGTGGCATGTGGTGGCAAAGAAAGACTTGTCATGACTCAATCAGAGAATCAATCATGGGATCAATATCTTTAACCAGCTCATAGCAACTTGTTCCACCAGAGATCTTCAGTGATCTCTGCATCGATCACTTTTTAAATGGAGCCTCTATGTCCTTTCAACCTGTGTGCTTGGTAACGAGTGGACTGTGACTTGGTTTTGTCTAAATCAGTTATTTGAGACATTTTTGCTTCAATCAAGTGACTGAAAACACTTAAAATGGCGCTTTGGACCTGACAAAATCAGCAACTATTTAAGAACCAACTATTAGAAACATTTTCTTGGTTCTGTGGGGTAACAAAAAAGAGTTCAGCTTCAATTTTAGTATCCACAACTGAAATGCTGGTATTCCACTGGGCCAACGCAGAGGAAAATCTACCATTATGTTGGCCCTTCCTGAATCCTGCATTAGGCACTTTGCCTTTGAGCTCCCCCTTATGGCAAAGGGGATTATAGCAGTAAGCCGACAGCCAGAGTGCTGTGTAGATTATAAAAAGGATAATGTGATCTTAACTGAAGCCTCAGGAAAATCTGAAGAAATTACTTCTCAAGTTAAAATGCTTTCTGATAATTAACTATATTTGAAATTGACAAAAAAGAAGGGAAGTAAGACATGCACATTGTAGCCTGAATTGTAAGGATTTATTCCTCTACAGGCAAGGTCATCCTTCCTTCTCTGAACAGTTCATTACTGATCTCCAATGAATCAGTGCATCCAGGGATCTCTGCATGACTGGACTTGAAAGGACAGGATGATGCAACATTTATATACTCGGGATCAGAGACTGGGTGACACGGATTGATGGATGACAGTGCTTTGTTCAGCCTCACACACAGACAGCCACCACCGACTATAGATGTCCCGTGGCGTGCATTAGCGTGCTGAGCTCTGTTAGCATTCAGCTATCAATCAACGAGTGTCCTATTGGACCATTCGCTACAGCGGGATTGACACCTGTGCACTCCTGCAGTGTCTGCCTCTTTTTTTAGTGCTCATACTTTGCATAATGACAGCGTCTGCTCAGCTGATGGTTATCAAAGGGAGAAACGTGCCTCTGCAATTCTAACAGTGGCATTTGTGGACAGTGATAGCTGGTACCTACCTTAAATACTCTGTCTTTTTTTCCCTCTCTTTAAAGGAACAGCAGTTTCCTTTAATGCATTCAGCAATACATGCAATAATGAATACTGGCTGTGAATGGGCTAAGCTAATATGATGAAATGAGCTAATGTAACAAAACGTGACTGCTCTGGTCTTAAAAGCCCTTCACTTTAAGATCATAGGTTTAGAGTATGAAATGGAGAAAACCAGGATGAGGCTTTTTGACTGATGAAAATGACCTAGATTACATTGAAATTACCAGGAAAGCTTATGGCTCAAGCTAACCAGAACTTTCTTTCATAATTTAAAAGGCTACATTAAGGATGGTTGAAGGAGGGGTTGTGGTGTAACACTTGGCATATGGTCTACAGCAGGGACACAGGACTTTCTGGCCTCCTGCTTTCTACCTACCATTAAAGACACACATACCCACGCACACACACATTAGGACACCGGGGAGATACACAGGGAGTCTGACTGGAGCAGATGTCCTCTCAGAGAAGACATGACCCAGCACAGAGACCCTAACATTCCCCTATGAGAGTGAAGCCTGAGGCAGCTGTTGCCAGGCCACTGCTGTAGCAGCTGGATGTTTCTACATTGGCCAAAGTCGACACAACTACAGAAGACACTGTATTCTGCCCTTTTAAAGAAAAAGCATTATTAATGCTGTATTAATATTATATGGAAAAACTGGAACTATTTTTTTCTTTGGTAGACATTTGAAGTTATTATTCTCAAGAGTTAACATCTAGATCACTGGCTGCTTGTTAGCCGACTCTGTCTAAATGTAACCTTTACAGGCGCTCCTTCTCAGGAGTTGTTACCTTTACAGGGAGTGCAGAATTATTGGGCAAATGAGTATTTTGTCCACATCATCCTCTTCATGCATGTTGTCTTACTCCAAGCTGTATAGGCTTGAAAGCCTACTACCAATTAAGCATATTAGGTGATGTGCATCTCTGTAATGAGAAGGGGTGTGGTCTAATGACATCAACACCCTATATCAGGTGTGCATAATTATTAGGCAACGTCCTTTCCTTTGGCAAAATGGGTCAAAAGAAGGACTTGACAGGCTCAGAAAAGTCAAAAACAGTGAGATATCTTGCAGAGGGATGCAGCAGTCTCAAAATTGCAAAGCTTCTGAAGCGTGATCATCGAACAATCAAGCGTTTCATTCAAAATAGTCAACAGGGTCGCAAGAAGCGTGTGGAAAAACCAAGGCGCAAAATAACTGCCCATGAACTGAGAAAAGTCAAGCGTGCAGCTGCCAAGATGCCACTTGCCACCAGTTTGGCCATATTTCAGAGCTGCAACATCACTGGAGTGCCCAAAAGCACAAGGTGTGCAATACTCAGAGACATGGCCAAGATAAGAAAGGTTGAAAGACGACCACCACTGAACAAGACACACAAGCTGAAACGTCAAGACTGGGCCAAGAAATATCTCAAGACTGGTTTTTCTAAGGTTTTATGGACTGATGAAATGAGAGTGAGTCTTGATGGGCCAGATGGATGGGCCCGTGGCTGGATTGGTAAAGGGCAGAGAGCTCCAGTCTGACTCAGACGCCAGCAAGGTGGAGGTGGAGTACTGGTTTGGGCTGGTATCATCAAAGATGAGCTTGTGGGGCCTTTTCGGGTTGAGGATGGAGTCAAGCTCAACTCCCAGTCCTACTGCCAGTTTCTGGAAGACACCTTCTTCAAGCAGTGGTACAGGAAGAAGTCTGCATCCTTCAAGAACAACATGATTTTCATGCAGGACAATGCTCCATCACACGCGTCCAAGTACTCCACAGCGTGGCTGGCAAGGAAGGGTATAAAAGAAGAAAAACTAATGACATGGCCTCCTTGTTCACCTGATCTGAACCCCATTGAGAACCTGTGGTCCATCATCAAATGTGAAATTTACAAGGAGGGAAAACAGTACACCTCTCTGAACAGTGTCTGGGAAGCTGTGGTTGCTGCTGCACACAATGTTGATGGTGAACAGATCAAAACACTGACAGAATCCATGGATGGCAGGCTTTTGAGTGTCCTTGCAAAGAAAGGTGGCTATATTGGTCGCTGATTTGTTTTTGTTTTGTTTTTGAATGTCAGAAATGTATATTTGTGAATGTGGAGATGTTATATTGGTTTCACTGGTAAAAATAAATAATTGAAATGGGTATATATTTGTTTTTTATTAAGTTGCCTAATAATTATGCACAGTAATAATCACCTGCACACACAGATATCCCCCTAAATTAGCTAAAACTAAAAAAAAACTAAAAACTACTTCCAAAAACATTCAGCTTTGATATTAAGTTTTTTGGGTTCATTGAGAACATGGTTGTTGTTCAATAATAACATTATTCCTCAAAAACACAACTTGCCTAATAATTCTGCACTCCCTGTAATGAAGTTCTATCAAAAATATAGCCTATTTTAGTACTAGAAGACATGACGTTGCTCAGCTTCTTTTAATATTCTCTATTGTATTTTGTATTCAGGAGCTGCTAAAAGCCCAATTAATTTCAAGTAGCAATTACAGAATTGTGTGGCTATGATTAAAACCCGGTTACAGTTTAAATGAAGGCAGAGTGGTGCTGTGGTTAGCACTCTCACCTCACAGAAAGGTTCCTCACTTAAACTTCAGTCGGGTTTTTCCTGCTTGTTCTTTTTCTATGTACTCCCTGTGCTTCTGTGAATTTCTTCCAAATATTTCCAAAAACAGGTATTATATTCCTTTTAAAAAATATAAAGATTAGGATGAGGAAATATTTACTGTGCTGCTTCCAGGTCCTGACTTCCACCCTTCCCTACTACTGACTCTTGATGATCTTGTTTTTCATGTCCTTGGCTGAAGTCGGAATCCTGCAGCCTCTTCAAAGTTGATGAAAGCTGACCAATCTTTTTGGTTGTTAGAGCAGCATTTGTTTTTGAGTGAAGCCTTACCTGTTTTGGTTAGCTTTCCTAAGTTTCTGCCTTTCTTGTTTTTTTCTTGCTAAACCTAAAAGATTTATCCTTAGCTGTTCTGCCTTCTCTTGCAGTTGCCAGAAGAAACTTGTAAGGGAGAGCTGCCATTTTCTTTTGACGTACACCTTTTTCTCCTATTTTTCTTTGGTTGATATGTAGTTGATGTATAGATTTGTAACCTTTCTTTTAACTAAGGTAATTTGTTGATGGAGTTTTATTTTAAGTTTGAGCTTTTTTTGTTTGGTGTACTCGCCTTATGCTTCATTGTTAACATTTTGGCAATAAATTGTTTAAACCAACCCAAACAAACTCCTCATGTTCCCCCATCTAGTATTATGTTACCTGTAGACCATTTTGGGAATGTAACATAGTTGGGAGCACATGTCGAGGACTTCTCATACCAGCACTAGATGGTGGAAGTTTGGTTTTGGAGACTGTTTGGTTTTTGGGTCTGTTAACAGCTGTGAGCATGACAACTGATCCGTTTGACTTAAGTTTCAGAAAGAACCTTCTTGGGAGGAATAACATATGTGTAGCAAAGGTGATTTGCTGTCATAGCGGCGCACTTCAAATTAAATTTTAAATTAAATAACATTTGAATTGAAAGAGATGACGAAGAACGGAGTAAAGTACTCGCTGGAACACAGCATAAGCAAACCTAATTCTAGTCCGCTGAGTTCTCCCTGTCTGGTCACGGCAAACTCAGATGGCACTCAACGCTTCCTCACAAGTGAACGCAGACAGTAGCTGTGTCCTAAAACGTAGGCTGCATCCTTCGGAGGCCGCATTTGAAGGCCGATTACGTCACAGCTAGGCGACGAAGGCTGTCCAAATTCGTCGACTCCTTCAAATGCAGCCAACAAATGCGTCCTTTATTTCCCCGAATTTGAAGGATCGGTCAGGTGTGGCCCACCATATCCCAGAATTCATAGCACGGCCCAGCCAATTCCAATTCCCAACAATGGCGGCCGCTATTAAGTTTTAATATTACTCTTATTAATCTTTCTGGGTCACAAAACAAACTTTTAACATACTTTCAGGCGAGAAAGTAGCCATGTAAACTTCAAATATCTGCTTGGTTTATTAAGACATTGCATATTTGCAAAAGTGCTCCGACATTTTCAGAGACGTCTGTTACCCACCCGCTTGATAGCTAGCCGGGGGGTTCAATGGTCACTCGACCCGGCGAGAGCAGCGGACTCCCGGCTTCATCGTTTTATCAGGTTAAAGATAATATATAAGTCACTCGGATGACTTAAAAATGTAATTGTTTGGCTTTGTTCTGCAGTAAATCGGTTTGGAGTAGATCAAAGTTATTAGATTAGATTAGATTAAACAAAACTTTATTAATCCCTCGGGTGGGTTTCTCTGGGATTTTCACACAGCTAAATAAACGTCAAACAAACTGTGAGACGGTCAAGAATTTACGCCAGTGTCCTGTTATATTTTAGATAGCAAAGAGCAGACGGCCGAGTTTATTAAACTCCACCGAGACAGCGGTGACGCAAATCTGAAGGCTAGACTGTCGCATTTCACAACCTCGCACTTCCGGCCTTTTCGGTCTTCGAAGGACCTGGCCCACGTAGACCGCGCAGGCCGGGTCCTCCAAAGGATTCGGCCTACGTTTTGGGACACAGCTAGTGTCTGTTTTTTTTCTGATACCTCACGCTGAGGACTGTATAGACAGCATCAGCTCAGCAACAGATGTCAGTAAGTTAGACCTCCTTACAGGTTACTGCCAAATCCTGCTTGCTGAAATAGCTTTTGAAGTCTCAGCATTTGTTACGCCTGATCACTTTTTGCAGTGTACTGTGATGGTCTTTTGAGATGAAAAATGCACCTGTGACCTTTCAAAGGCTAATGACCACCGTCCTGGGTAATGTTTCAAACTGCAATATTTATCTAGTTGATGTGGTTATTTATTTTCCCCATTGGGCATAGCACATTGCAACAATGAATCATTTTTTTTGAAGCAGAAGCTTCTCTGACACTAAACTTGGCAACATGTGAGTTTGGCAAGGCCACTGTCACCTAACTTTTGAAGGAACCTTTATGACCAGATTCATCCTGTTGAGGCTAAGGTTTCTGCCATTGTCGACCTTTCCTGTACCTACCTCCAGAAGGGAGATAGGTACATTCCTTGGGATGGCTAGATACTACAGTGCTTTCTATAGAAAATCTCCCAAGTAAAGGCACCTCTAACTAGGTTGTGCAGCCCAATGTAGCTATTTGTCTGGAGCAGTGAATGGCAATGTGCTGTTGCTATTCCAGATTTTTCCAAGCCTTTCCATACTCTTGTCATTTTTTTTATACATTTTGCTTCAGCTTTTTTGTATGTTATAACCCGCTCTTCTCTGTGGCTGGCAAGGACCAATAACAGCACAAACAAGAGTACCACACAGACCGATTGTTTGTGACACTGCCTCTTATAACCAACAACAACTTATAGACAACATCTGCAAAGTTGCCTGTAGTCTGTGTGCAAGGCCACTGTAAAACCATCATGCTTCTCCTTTAGCCATAAGATGGAATGACGAACTGTCCAGCCCTGTGTCAGCAAGGATAAGCTGCACTTCCGCCTTCATGAAATTTTGCACATGTGTCAGGTCTGGTGAATATTTATGTATTTTTGGGTCTTAAACATGGGCGGTTCAACATGATTCTACAGCGCCACCTACAATCGCTTTATTGAAGTACTAGTAGCAACATGAAGTAAGCATTAGGTGATAATCATCATCACTTCATCTACATGAAACTTTCATTAGTGGTTTATCAAATTACGTGCAGCAGCAGGACTTTTAGTTGGTGGACACTCTTTATCGCCACCTAGTGTTCACAGGTGATCAGCGGTAAATTTATACAACACCCAATTAGCGTCCCAGGCTTAATTCATTCATGTTACCGCGTAAAACATCTCACCTTCATCACACCTGGATGTTCACTGAGGTGCAAGGGCCATACTGTTGCTGCTTTAATTTAACTTGAGACTATTCAGTTGATTAATGAGTAATATAGGGCAGAGCATTTCTGATGCATGGCATATCAAGGGACTAGATGCATCTGCTGCATTAACTGTCATCACTCTTCCTTTAAAAAAAAATCCATTTACAATTCCCACCCCAATGTTTAGAATAATTTGATATACATAGGATATATTGTTTAAAATAGTAACAATGGCATCTCATCCACTGGTTTAGGGTGTGCATGTGATCTACTATATGTGTCAGCCCTGGGCTGTGTGCCAGATAAGTGTCCGTCCTCAGCAGGAGCCTCTGGTTTATAGTACAAAGCAGCATGCAAGGATCAGCATTAAGACATCATCTGCTAGAAAGAGGATGTGCAACCTGCAATACCTTTGCTTTGCCAAAAGCGTTAAAAAGCAGAATAATAGGAAGATAAAAGATAGAGGCATATAAAGAAACTGCCATAATTGTGTAATGAATCAGTGGTTTACAGCAGGGAGATGAACTCACAGGGAATAGCGAATGAATACTAAGTCTTTTTAAATGAAACTTTGCAATACTTTTGACCCTCAAGTCCTGGTCAACACAGCCAGAGACTGATTCCACTTTCATTTTAGCATGTCTTCGTCAATATATATAGTGTGTGTGTGTGTGTGTGTGTGTGTGTG